TCAACATTTATTGATTTCCTACGCACTCTGCTGATCTGTAACGGACTGAACTCGTGAGTACCAGCTTTTACTTTGTTGTCAATAAGCCTAACTTGCATATTATTACCATTGTTAAATGCAATTCATGAAAACTTTCAATCATTTTAGGGATACCAGTTGGCCTGCTTTTAGGATTCTGTATGTGTGTTCTTTGCGTCATAGACTCAGGCAGTAATTTTGACTGTATTTTTTCTCCATAGGTTTCGGGTTATATAAATATATAAAAGAAATATAAAAAAAAAAATCAAGAGATGGTCTACTACAGGGCCAGCCAGTCCGAGCGGCCACCGTTGTCGCGTATTCTGCCGCATCTGTACCTTGGTGCAGAGACTGACGTAACGCAGGTATATTTACAAATTCTCTAACGATTTATCATGTTGCATAATCCTCCCTTATCCATATTAAAATTACATTTGCTGCATAGTCTATTTGCATATACATTTGCTACAATAGTTTGCTTTCGCCAGTGTTTTGCAGAACATTAAAGTTACTTTCTCACCTTTCACCCGCTATTCGTACCCACAGGATGATTTGTCCGACCGAGGCATCTCGTACGTACTAAGTGTGAGCCGATGTTGCCCACAGCCTTCATTTCTACCCCAGTCCCAGTACCTCCGTATCCCAATAGACGACTCCCTGCGGGATGACCTGCTTCCGTGGATCCCTCAGGCGTTGCACTTCATTGGTGAGGGACCCGAAATCCCGTGCTTACATCAGCCTGCATTTGCATCCCAAATGCATTACATCATTAATACTAGCATCGATTGACTGATCTTAAAATATATCAGTGCCTCTGTTTTGTCTCAAAATGCACACCAGTAATGTTTTTTCTAAGGCACGTTAATAAAAATTACTTAAATGTCCTAATTAAACTATTGCCTAGTCCTGTCTTAGTCTAAGCCCTGTCTGTGAAACCAGGCCTAAAAGGTTTAAAATACGTCTCACTGTATATACAATATTTTTTTAATTAAAACGAACTGTTTCAGATGGGGCCATGTCACGTGGCTGCTCAGTCCTGGTCCACTGTGCTGCAGGAATCTCTCGGTCTCCAGCACTTGCTGTTGCCTACGTCATGTATAGCCTGAAAATGGATCTGGATCATGCATACAGGTAATGCGCATATGTTGTTTGTTTTAATTCTACTGCCATTTTCTATGAAAAAAAAATAGTTAGGAAATTGAGTTGAAGATGAATATGGAATATGAGTTATGAATTTTTTTCATTTTTTTTTTTTCTTTTTTATCATGAATGCAGATTATTTAAATAAGTTAATTATAGTGCTGTCAAACAATTAATCGCGATTAATCACATCCAAAATAAAAGTTTTTGTTTACATAATATATGTATGTGTGCTGTGTATATTTATTATGTATATATAAATACACAAACATGCATGTATATATTTAAGAAAAATATGTTAAGTTTATACATTTAAAATATTTAAATATAATATCAATTACATGAACATAAATATATACATGGAAATATTTTCTAAATATATACTGTATGTGTGTGTATTTATATATACAGAATAAATATACACAGTATAAACACATATATTATGTAAACAAAAACTTTTATTTTGGATGCGATTAATCGTTTGACAGCACTAGTTAATTATCACTATCTGATCATTTCTTTAGGTTTGTGAAAGAACGCAGACCTACAATTTCACCGAATTTTAACTTCTTGGGGCAGCTGCAGCTCTTCCAGGGAACGCTGTCTTTAAAGAATAATAACACTAACCTTCACGTTCAGCAGTCAGTCAAACCGTTTGATAACTGCCTACAGCCCACCAATGAAAAAAACAACAGCAGTTCCGCAGTGGCACTGTTAACTAACCTGAACCTTCAGAACAACATGGACAAAAACTGTATTATTAATGGATGTACTGAGGATTCCAAAGCAAACTTGCACTTTGAGAACCAGAACAACCAAATGGAAACTATTCAGAGCGGAGGCCAATGCTATGAGGTAATGAAGCCAGAGTTTACATTATCTCTTTCAGCCAAGCTCGGAGCGCTCACTCTCCGCACAAATCCCATAAAGGTACAAAGACCAGTCAACGTCACATCCCAGACACAGCAGGATGCACCAAAATCCAACCTACCCAAGCCTACTTACCTTCAGATTCCGTCTCTAGAGGAGAAACGCAAAAGCCTTACTCTTTCCCTAACTCCAGTGAGTGCAGTTCCTCAGACTCACCAGAAGGGGTCATTAGTGAACAGCTGTGATCTGAGGCAGAGCAGTTCCACGGTTGACCAGACGGGGGCGTTAGATGACCTGGGCAGAGTCAATTTGGAGCCGTCGACATCAGAAACCAGAACAGAACCAAAAGAGGCAAACGGGTTTATCAGTGAGGAAGCTTCAGCTAGACTCAGCATCTCAAAATCACAAAGAAGAAAGGGTAAACTAAACAGCAGTAACCCCAGAGCAAATGTGGAGCTACAAAAAACAAACCAACTAAACCATTCAAGCACAAGATCACACAGGCAGAGCCAGGGACCATGTGGTATCATAACCTCCCCGGAGGAGCATTTCGAGAAGGAGGTTATTGGTGGTGTAGAAGCAGTGGAGGGTATGGTTGGAGACCAGAGCCCCTTGTCTCCGGTAAGTCTAACAGTCAACAAAATACTGGACTGGTGCGAACGCATGCTGCTTGGGGTCCTATTTGGCCCACGTGTTAAACTGGGACAGGCTGCTTTGCCGTACAGATGTTGAAGAGAGACTGGTTGTATGGACTGCACTATTTAAAAATACAGGTGTAAACAAGGACTGTACACTGTATCTCTCTAATGATCTGAAGGAACTTAAATGAGGACAACGACGCTATCAATGAAAAAGCATATGTGTGATTGTGTGAATTCACCTATTTATTTAATAAAATTGCATGTTCCTCCAAGACTATTTGACAGACTCACATCATCTGGTGGACTGGTGGTGATATGTGAATAAATGACTGAACGTTTGCAAGCACATAAGCGATTTGTTCTATTATAATGCACAGCCTGCCTGTGACTTTATTTATTGAAATACACTGATAATTGTTATTTATAAAGGGGTATTTTGCAGGTGGAATTTTAACACTATAGCTTGTATTGAAAACAGTGTTCATTAAAGACAATTATTTTATTCTGTCTCATTGTCTCTTTCATTTTAGTGTTACTTTTAGCAACTATTTGCTGAATTGTATTATAAAATGTTATTAAAAGGCAAAATTTTGCTGTGGATTTGAACGCCAGTTGATCGATAAGGCAAAGGTCCTGTGCCCCTTAAAGGAATAGTTCACCCAAAAATTCAAATTTGCTGAAAATTTACATCAGGCCATCCTAGATGTAGATGAGTTTGTTTCTTCAATGGAACAGATTTGGAGAAATTTATCATTACATCACTTGCTTACAAAGGATCCTCTGCAGTGAATGGGCCCGCAAGCAATCCACACGACTCCTGTAAATCAATTAATGTCTTGTGAAGTGAAAACCTGTGTGTTTGTATTAAGTGCTTGATCTGTGCATATTTTTCTCCTGATTCAGGCGAGACATCGTTTTCACTGAAGAAAACAGTATTATGGTTAGCAGTCTCTTATTTTAGCTGGAGCAGCAGTTTTTAGTTAATTTATTACAAACACACAGCTTTTCACTTCATAAGACATTCATTGAAGGACTGGAGTCGTGTGGATTATTGTGATGTTTTTATCAGCTGTTTGGACTGTCATTCTGATGGCACCCATTCACTGCAGAGGATCCATTAGTGAGCAAATTATGTAATGCTAAGTTTCTCCAAATCTGTTCTGATGAAGAAACAAACTCATCTATATCTCGGATGGCCTGAGAGTACATTTTCAGCTCATTTTCATTTTTGGGTGAACTATTCCTTTAAGAAAACGTTTAGTAATAAACATACTTATAATGATACATTAAGTTTTTTTTTTTTTTTTCTCTCTTGCGGGAATTTATTGCAACCGGCTGTAAATGTACTCCCCCTGGTTTAGTCACAATGAAGAGGAGTAACGTTTCCTCAAAAATGTTGGAAAGGCAGACATTAACTGGTGGGTGTTTCTACAAACATTTTTACTACACAGTTAGTAGCCAATTGTACAAGCCAAGTGATCCAGCATCCACATCGATTATCCAAACTTTAAGTTTTTTTTATTATTATCATATTAATTATTGTTATTATTATTGCCAAAGTATCACAAAAGAATATACAGAAATAACGTATGCAAATATACATACTTAGTATAGTACTAGGAAGGAAAATTACCGATTGAAGAGTTCAGATGCAAAAGCCTCTATAGAAATAAGTGCAGTCTGAAATTTTCTTCTAAAATTAGCATTTTTATCAGGTTCCTATGTTTAGATTCAGTAATTTTACTTTAATGGCAATGTATAGGTCCTTTTCTATACCATTAAAGTGAAAGAATAACTGAACATAAATATAGGAGCCTGATAAAAATTGTCATTTTAGATGAAAATTTAGATGGCACTTAGAGGCTTTTGCATCTGAACTCTTCAATTATAAAATAAATAAGATACAAAACATTACATCTGGCCAAACGTCTCATTTCATATGCCGAAAGTTTGGCCACAAAATATTTTATTACATATTATAGTATTATTCATGTTTTGCCCTTTTATTTTTTTAAATCTTGTTTATAAGTTAAAAAACGAACAATGAATGCTGAATGAACGCTCTATGTAAACATCTACTTTAACGCAGACAAACCAGGCCCTGCCTTGGCCAAATATGGGAAAGACCACGCTCGAATTACGCATTTTGCATAGCCTGCCTCATATTGCGGAAATGCAAGCGTAGTAACAGCAGAATCGTTCATCGAATCATGTGCATCAGCCAATTAGAACTCGCCGAGGCTCACCGATAACGAAATCATGCGTTCGATGAGAAAAAACAACGACGAAAGCCACGCCCATTTCAGGCGTACGTATGATACACACTCAGAGACGAAAGAAGTTGCCCCTGGTCATGAAAAAAAGCTATCGGAAGCAAGAGCGAGTCCAGAAATCACCAAGAAAAATCCAGAGGGCGGACATCCTGGAATTTGCTTTTTATCTCCCTAAGAAAGATGGTTGTATCGCTTGTAAAAGGGGAGAATTTGTAGGCTAAATCTTGCGGATATAGTTCATTAAAGTTGTCAGAGTATTCGCGGGTTGGCAGTGGACTAACGTTAAGTTGTCTGACTTTCGAGTCGCTAACTTGCCACCAGAAGGCTAATTTACCCAAGGCGGCTGCGGAAGAAAGGTAATCGGCGATCATTGTCCAGACCAGCACGGTATTTGTTTTATTTCCTATTTAGAATTATCGCTATATTAATGCTATTGTTCTGTACAGATTGAACCATGGAGATTGGATTATGATACATACTCGCCCAAAATCTGTAACTTTGTAGTCTTCTGTAGAGGTTTATCAACGATGCCAGGCCTTGTACGGTCTTAAATCTTTATGCTCGATGGAGCAACATTATTCCATTTAAAACCATTTTAGTCGAGTAAGAAGACGTGATTAGTTTTTGTTTGTTTGTTTGTTTTTGTGTATAACCAAATGTTTCATATTTGCAGGAGTAGGATGATGTCAACTGAAGAAAGATATAAGTTGGTGGTCGTGGGCGGTGGAGGTGTGGGGAAAAGCGCCCTCACCATTCAGTTCATTCAGGTAAGTGCATTTTTTAGGAATTTAATATAAAATATAGATGTATTTATGGCGTATTATTGGGCAAATGCGCTGTGGTAAGTATTACTGTGGGTGTGTTGCAAGAGTTGTGTGAAGTTCAGAGTGCAGTGGGCTTTCCTTTGCATGTTCCTTCATGTTAAAGCCCTTGTTGAGGAGTTGGTGAACAACCAAAATAATTTCTGTTTTCTTTCACAGTCGTACTTTGTGTCGGACTATGACCCAACCATTGAAGACTCGTACACTAAAATATGCACTGTGGATGGAAAGGAGACACGATTAGACAGTAAGTTGGAATGTGTTTTTATAGGAAGGATTGAGTGTTAAAAAGCTCCACAGGTTCCCTCAGAAGGGAGATTTTGGTCAGAGTTGCATCAGTATGATTCATTACTGACTACGGGTTCCTGCCCAGGTTTTGTTTTGACTTGCTGTCAGTACGACATCATGCCAGCTGTGCTTAAAGCAAGGTTTAAAGCAAAAAAATTTTGTGTGGATGAGCTCATCTTGCATATTCCCCTCTATTCATTTGTGTTATTGTGTCGTTCACCTATTCATTAGTCCTCGACACAGCAGGACAAGAAGAGTTTGGAGCGATGAGAGAGCAGTACATGCGCTCCGGAGAGGGTTTCTTACTGGTGTTTGCTCTTAATGACAGTGGCAGGTAGGTGTTTTCCAGAGTGTGTTTGTGTCTGTGTGTGCGAGAGGAAGGGGAATAGATAGTTCCTAACCTTTCTGTGTGACGAGAACAGAGAGTGTGTATGTGGCTGTGTTTGTTTTAAAAAAAGAAAACCACAGAATGTGTTTGTGATGAGAATAAGAGTGCAGACTATGAGTGCTCATGTTTTCAGATGAACCTCAACAGATGAACTGAGCCTATTTGAATGGCGAGTAGAAATGTAGAGGTTTCTTACAGATTTGAATTAGACTATATTTTCCAGATTTTCCATGCAAATATTTGTACAGTTGTAAACTGCAATCAATCTGTCTGTTAAGAAGATTTTTTAATATATAGGTTTTTTTTTCTTCAGTGAAATTCTTTATTTTCAGTTTAGTTTTAGTTAGTTTTCTGTTTCATTGTTCGTTTACATTTTTTTGTTGTTGTTTTTAGTTTTTTGTGTGTGTGTGTGTGTGTTTGTATTTTAGGACTGAAATAATGTGTTAACTGGTCAATTAAAAAATATATATTTAATGCTGTTAAAATTCATAGCACAGTCTAGTGACATTTTTATGTTTAATTAAAAAGTTTTAGAATATAGCATGTTATCAAACCTTAAACTAGAACTGATTTGTTTAAATTTAATTTGACATTTGTTTTAGTTTTAGTTTTTGAATCATCAGTTTTCCTAGTTGTTTTTCATTATCTAGTATTTTTTATTTCAGTTCAGGAAAATATTTCAATATTTCATGTAATTTTTGTTAGCAGTTAAAACACTCATAAAATAAATGTTTAATATTTGTCTATTGCAAATTAAATTTACAGGCTACTATCCAAGATGTTAAATTATAATGACATTCTATGAACTCTGTATTATTTTGTATTACTTTTGTCTTCGTTGAGCAAAAACTTGTCATTCTATTGAACACTTTCTATCTGTTTCAGTTATGATGAAATTCAGAAATTTCACACTCAGATATTGCGGGTGAAGGATCGAGATGATTTTCCTATGGTTCTTGTTGGCAACAAATCAGATCTTGACCAGCTGAGAGTGGTAACGTGTTACACAAATGATTGAAGTTTTAATTAAAAACCCTAAATAGGCTGCCAATTCATATGAATATATTGTTCAAATAGATCTCAAGAGATGAGGCCATGTCATTTGCCCGATTAATGACAGTGGCAGGTAGGTGTTTTCCAGAGTGTGTTTGTGTCTGTGTGTGCGAGAGGAAGGGGAATAGATAGTTCCTAACCTTTCTGTGTGACGAGAACAGAGAGTGTGTATGTGGCTGTGTTTGTTTTAAAAAAAGAAAACCACAGAATGTGTTTGTGATGAGAATAAGAGTGCAGACTATGAGTGCTCATGTTTTCAGATGAACCTCAACAGATGAACTGAGCCTATTTGAATGGCGAGTAGAAATGTAGAGGTTTCTTACAGATTTGAATTAGACTATATTTTCCAGATTTTCCATGCAAATATTTGTACAGTTGTAAACTGCAATCAATTATTCTGTTAAGAAGATTTTTTAATATATAGGTTTTTTTTTCTTCAGTGAAATTCTTTATTTTCAGTTTAGTTTTAGTTAGTTTTCTGTTTCATTGTTCGTTTACATTTTTTTGTTGTTGTTTTTAGTTTTTTGTGTGTGTGTGTGTGTGTTTGTATTTTAGGACTGAAATAATGTGTTAACTGGTCAATTAAAAAATATATATTTAATGCTGTTAAAATTCATAGCACAGTCTAGTGACATTTTTATGTTTAATTAAAAAGTTTTAGAATATAGCATGTTATCAAACCTTAAACTAGAACTGATTTGTTTAAATTTAATTTGACATTTGTTTTAGTTTTAGTTTTTGAATCATCAGTTTTCCTAGTTGTTTTTCATTATCTAGTATTTTTTATTTCAGTTCAGGAAAATATTTCAATATTTCATGTAATTTTTGTTAGCAGTTAAAACACTCATAAAATAAATGTTTAATATTTGTCTATTGCAAATTAAATTTACAGGCTACTATCCAAGATGTTAAATTATAATGACATTCTATGAACTCTGTATTATTTTGTATTACTTTTGTCTTCGTTGAGCAAAAACTTGTCATTCTATTGAACACTTTCTATCTGTTTCAGTTATGATGAAATTCAGAAATTTCACACTCAGATATTGCGGGTGAAGGATCGAGATGATTTTCCTATGGTTCTTGTTGGCAACAAATCAGATCTTGACCAGCTGAGAGTGGTAACGTGTTACACAAATGATTGAAGTTTTAATTAAAAACCCTAAATAGGCTGCCAATTCATATGAATATATTGTTCAAATAGATCTCAAGAGATGAGGCCATGTCATTTGCCCGAGAAAACAGGATCCACTATATGGAATCGTCAGCTAAGAACCGCCACAATGTGGATGAAGCCTTCATGGAGGTTGTGCGAGCAATAAGGTATTTGGAATAGAGGAGCACTCTTATGAGATTGACAGTGTAGTGCATTTGTGATAAACTTGCATTACCGTCTTTCTTCAGGAAGTTTCAGGAGACAGAAAGTCCACCGCTCCCCGCTAATCACGCGAGGAAGCAGAAGAGTGGTGGCTGTCCCTGCACCCTGCTCTGACTGCCCCTCTGCACTGTTGCCTAGGAGACCGAAGCCCTCACTCTCACGCTTGGTGCCTTATATGTCTACACAGTGTGTGTGTGTGTGTGTATGACACTGTATGCATCAGTGTTTTATTGGCTTTTACAGTATGTATGAATTGGTTTTCAAGAAGAAACTAGACTATAAAATAAGAGCGAACCGTGAATCTGTTGGAAAGAGGGAGTTCTTGTTTCATCCACATGTTTTATTTAGTGCCTTGTAAAATCATGCTCTTGATTTTAGATTCAAGCACAGTATTTGTTTATTTCCACCACAGTATGAGGTCGCAGACTGATTGTGTGCCACAAAAGAGATTTGTATTTTTTTTTGTTTACCACTGAGGTGGTGAACAGTAGCAACAATGCATATTTAAACAACCACATAAGCAATCATAGGCTGTGCTGACAGAACTTCTGATGGTTCTTATGCCATCTGTATGTCATATATTGGGTTACTGACTCAAAAAGATAAGTCGGAAAGTATTTTATTGGCCTAGAGCTCTGTTCAGCCTGTCTTCTCTTGGGAGATTCATTTAGTCAGTGAAACTGCACTGAAATGGCTGCTTTAGTCTATAGTCTATACCAGAGATCCTCAAATCTGGCCCACGGGATCCACTTTCCTGCACAGTTTAGCTCTAACCCTAATCAAACACACCTGAGCAAGCTAATCAATGTCTTCAGGATCATTAGAAAATCACAGGTAGGTGAGTTTGATCAGGGTTGGAGCTAAACTCTGCAGCGCATTGGCCCTCCAGGGCAAGATTTGAGGAACCCTGGTCTATACCTTGCTTCCCATCAGTGGCAAAAAATATATTCAGCCAGCTTGTTTTCATTTATCTCTTCCTGGTAAAGCAATGTGGAATGACTAAGACCTGATGTGATTTTAATAACTGAGTATTTTTAGTGTAGACAGTAGTGTCGAAACAATGGGTCCAGTATCTGAAATGCTAATATTCTTACAAACCAAAGGCTATAATGTACATGTTTGCACACCTAGCTTTGTCATCGTGAATAGTTTTCTAATGTAGTTTAACACTAAAAATGGACAAATTGTGTGGTTTTATTGTGGGATTATTTTGATCTGTTTCTTTTTAGTTTTGATTTGATGTGTTTTTGAAGGTACTTCTATTTGTGCATATATGCAGAATAAGGCAGTCTGTCTCCAGGTTCACATGCTATTGTGACATGCTTGTGATTGTTGCACCTTCATTCGTAGACCGTGATGAAAAAGCAATACAGAGGAATTGCCAAATAAATGTACTAACAAAGCATGGTATTAATCAGTGTTGTAAGGGAATGAGTCACTCTGTAAATAGGTAGAAGGCCTAGTTTAGGGTGAGAAAAAACAAGACTAGGTGCTTTTCCTTTTCACACTATAGCAGTTCTTATGGTATACTCGTCTCTACAGGGAGTTGCTACACAGCCTTTAATAAAGGGACATGGATTTTTTTTTTTTCAAACTGTGGCAAAGTCTGTTGTAGATCAGGTTTGTCAGCCACAAATAAGAACAAAGCACTATTTAATTTGCATTGTTAACAGAATTACACAATATGGTAACAGGATGATTCTCATTCTTATTTCAATATAATTTCATGTCTTAAGTCCGATTATTTCAGTTTTTTTTATTTAAGCTATGTTTTTGCTGGCTCTGAAGAAATATCAGACACCATTTATCTTCCAGTTTTGTATCTAAATCTAACAATATTCTTTTGTACACAATTAAAATATGTCTTTAAACCGTTTCATGTAAGAATTTATGGATGACTGATTTATTGGGTGAATAATTTTTAAAGTATTCAAAACGGTTTTCACACATACCGTTGTTGGATTTGGCTTCAGATGCTGAGGAATGAGGAAATAAAGATTAAAGTAATAACATTTATTTATAAACTTTATTCATTACGAATGAATAAAGTATAAATAAATTAATGCTTTGTATTTTTTTCCTACTGACTATTTAGCTTCATATAAATTGTATTCATCTCTATTTGTAATTAACACTCTCTATTCTTATTGGCCCATAACAATCAGATAAGAGTCTAGAACTACCCTGCGTATTACAAGCAATTGTTGCTAAATGATTCCCACATGTGAGGTGAGGAAAAATGTAATCGCTGGGAAGGAATCAAACCGCAGTGCGAGATTCTGAATTCACTGAAGAAACATCAGCATGATGTCGTTTCCTCACAGAATTTGAGTGTAGTGGTAACGCACGTTTTAACGCGATAATATAAGACAAATATCACGTCTATAGGACTGACTTTCGTAACTTCATTAAAAGCTGTTGTCAGGTCGGCTCTTGCTAAGAAGAAAAGGGGTCCAATTTATAACTATCTTTGAAAAGGAAGGCTGATCCAATCAAGGCGCCTGTTGAAACCGGAAGCTGTTGAAGGTACACGGGGAGCGTTGTTTGTTTGTTTTAAATGACAGATGATGAATGACATTTTTGAATATTAAACTGCGATATATATATATATATAGCACTGAAACTTACTAGTACTAATGATTTTTCGTCATGGAGGCGATTAGCACCTTTGTTTATTGAGATGTCCAGGTAAGTCACCGAAACTCCGTCACATCCCACTGCCACTCCTACAAATGCTCACGGCTGTGAACTGTTGTCAAACTGGTATGTCTCGTACGCGATGTTATAATGTAGCTGTGAATGAGAACACAGTCGATTTATGTAAGAATTTCAATTAAAAGCATCGAATATGTGAATACCTTGTATTCGTACTTTTTATCCATAGCCATAATAATTTACAGCACCAAGGCAGGAAATCCCTGGAGAAATCTGAAAGTATTTTTCATCCAAAGTTTCCTTGTTCGGAGCACAAAAGAGTGTCAAGGTAAGCAGGCGGTGACCAATGTCGTTTTTCTTTAGACGCAGGTGCAGTAGTTTTGCTTTCTTTCTGCTGTCGTGCGTTTTGTGGTGCAGCTTGTTTTCAAAATGAATGGGCAGATATGCACTATTACTCTATTTACTTAAAAATACAAAAATAAATATTCAGTCATTCCCTCATGTTGCAACAATGTTGTCAATGTGTGTTTGATCTAAGTTGCAGTGTTGAAAATAAGATATTAAACTGATATTTTATGTAGCCTATATGTAGGCCTATAACTCTTTTTCTTAATATATAAAGATTAATGTTTGATTTTGATTAAGTGCAATGACCGATAGAGGACGACATTGTAAAAGCATTTTCCTTCTAATTCTGGAGAATATTTTTGTGACGGATTCTTTAGAGTTATATATTTCCTCCATATGGATTTATCAAAATATAGCCTGTTAATCTTTGTAATATTATTAATATTGTTTTGAACAGGTACAATGCTGGGGTTTCCAGCGATAGGTTTCAGCTTGCTTTTCCTGCTGCATCTTGTTTGGGGCAGAGTGATCTACAATGGAAATGATGGTAATAATGAAAAGCTGAACACTTTTTAATAGCCAGTGTTTGAAATTCTTTGGGTTTATCTTCTATTGTTGCTAATAAGTTAGTATTATGGTGTGTTTTTTGGTTGGTCTACCTCCCTATGCAACTCATTATGCTCAAATCAAAGACTTAGACCTTTGCACAATCTCACATTGGCCAATCACTTACATTGGCCTTTAGGTGTATTGTAAACGTTGGTACGTTTCATACCTTTAATGCAACATAATTAATTTGTTTGTTTTATTAATTAATTTTGTTAATTCTTTGCATTTTTAACTGTCTTTATCGTTAGCTGCCATTTCATTACATTCCTATATACTGCGCTGTTCTTTCTGTTTGTAAAAAGACACGATTTAATGTATGTTTGTGGTGTATAGCTGATTCTCATTATGATTCATATTCTCTTGTGTTCCTCAGTGTTCCTAGAAGAGAAGTCAGCAGGTTCGTTTCTCTCCCGTAAACTGTTGTATAACAGTTGGGATTTTGAGGTAGTGGTGCCTGACGATCTACAGAGAGAATGCATAGAGGAAATATGCTCATATGAAGAGGCCAGAGAGGTGTTTGAAGATGACCGAAAGACGGTGAGAAAGAAAGAAAAAAAAGAATATACAAGAAAATGTGAACACAACAGAAGCCTGTTATAGCCATGTTTATGTATACTTACTTGGTGCTATTTATTTTTTCCAACAGGCCGATTTTTGGAAAACCTATGTCAGCAGTCACGGTAAGGTTGTTCTTTTTCATTAAAGTTTCATTTGATATTTTGTAGATATAGTTGAAGATATGGACATCAAACATTTGGATTAAATTGTCAAATAAAACTGACAACGTAATGCCTCATAGCACTGAAGCAAGCAGCCTTCACTCTTAAAAATAAAGGTTCTTTATTTGCATCTATGGTTCCATGAAGAAACTTTAACATCCATGGAAACTTTCCATTCCACAAAAGGTTCTTTATAGTGGAAAAATGTTCTTTTTAGATTTTTAAAATCTTTTATGAACTGTTCACAGAAATGTTTTCTGGGGAACCAAAAATGGTGGTTCTATAGCTCTGCTTTTGGAACCTTTATTTTTAAGAGTGTTGTCTAGCTGTCATCATAGTATAAGCAAATGCAAACTACAAATATTCTTAGTGGCCAGTATTTTCAATGTTTTATCCAAAAAGGAAAAATGAGATCACTAAATAAACAATTAAAATGTGTATTTGTTGAGAATGATGAACTGATTTTTTTTTTTTTTTCCTGCAGAATCTTTGCCCCCAGTGGATGTGTCTGCTTTGGTAGCTGGCATTGTGGCTATTGTAATAACAGCGATTATAGCCACTGTGTTGGGCATTTATTGCTACAAGAACAGGGGCAAAAATTCAAGAGGGGGCAGGTAAATGCATGTCATCATGACCACAGCAACATGCCTTTTATGCAGCAAAATCACACTAATGGATTCTGCATCTTCACAGCGTTCCTGTGCGTATGGGTGTGGATGGGCAGCCACTACCTGAATCTGTGCCCTTGTCTAACAGGGCTCCAGGTCTCCCCTCATACAATGAGGCTCTGACCCACAGTGGCCAGCATGATGCACCTCCACCGCCATACTCTGGGTAAGAGCTCTGAACGGCTTGTTTGTATATCGTATACATAAGCGATGCAGTGCCTGCTGGAAAATTATTTTGCGCTGCATGTTCAAAATGTGTTTTAAAATATGCATCTTTGCTCTTTACAGGGGAAGTCCATCTGAGCCACCTCAAACTCGAGATGAGGAATGACAAAGACATGTTGTTGTTGTTGTTTTTTAAATGGGGGGAGGGGAGAGGTGATACAGGGTTTTACTAGTGAAAAAGTGTAGCTTCAGTCACTAAGTGGGTAATTTATTATACTAAGGCTACATGTTCCGCAGTACCCTATTTTATTCTTTAGAATTATTTTGCTACTATCATCATGGAACATAGTGTCAGTGTGAATACTGTCAATATTTTCATAAATCAGGTTTGCTAGTTTTTTTTTTTTAAAGAGTTTTATTAAATGTACTGTAATTGTCATTATTAATAAAATAAAATGTAGACAAACTTGAATTTGATTTGCTAATTCGACTGTGTGAAGCAACAGCGCGCGTGACGCTTAAATCGATTCCAGTATTTGCCATTAGTCGCTGTTGTCACTCATCGTCGCCTGTCTTTCACAGGATCAGTGCGCACCGCCACAGACCGTACTAGTGAAAGCGTCCGATACTCAGCTGTGCCTCTGTGCCGTAACAAGGCGGCAGTACGCACGAGACTTCCACAGACTGCGTATGTGTGAGAGTGTGACAAGCGATTCGGCAGAGGGGGAGGCGTGTGTGTGTGTGCGCCTGTTAGTCCACTCATAAAAAATGGCGTCGTCTTGGCTAGATACCTGAAAATAGCGATTTTAAATCCCGGGCGTTGTAGCGTTTATGTAAGGCATTGAAGCATTACACTAGCCCCTTGTATTATTCTTATAAACTTTAAGGATTTAAATTAACCTAGGCACAACAAGCCACTTTGTTTCTGACGAGGAGGTACCATCCCGTGTATATCCATAATGTAAATATTTGGGGCGCAACAGCTGAAAAAACGCGCGCTCGGTTTACTATTTATAGAGACCTAGTATCTCACCTTTTTATGGCAATGCAGTACGCGAACAACTGAGGAAATGGGGTACAATCAAGCACGTGTCGTACGTCTCGGGTGTAACAAGCAATGGCATCAGAATTCGACATGTAGAGCATCAGCCGCGTTACTGTTTCTGCTAGGAAGGACAATAGGCATCGAGATATATAAGAGGGCAAAAGAGGGGAGGGGAGGAAGAAACCGGATTTTTTGTGGTGACGGTGGTTGGTGTACTTCACCCCCCCACTCCCCTCCCCTCTGTATCCTCCATCTCCCCCTCCTCCTTCTCCTCCCTCCATTCCTCTCCCCCTCTGTGCTGGTCCTATTCTTGAGGACTTGCTTGTGAAACGGGAGAGATAAACAGACACTGAACGCAGAGGAAAGGACACGGGGAGAGATAGTTTGTTAGAATTTAGGAAATACCTCCCTCCCCTTCCCCCTGTCTATCTCTCCATCTTCATCCGTTGTCTCTTCTTTAATGGATAGAAATTATCCTGGCACAGGATTCGGTGATCTGGGCGCTGGAACGGGATGGAGTTACGAGAGATCGGCGAAGGCAAGGTAAGGCGCCCGTGCAAGTTCACTTCCATGCGCTGGATGCATAAATATGCTTAGCTGGCTGTAACAATGCCCACGGACGGACGGACGCAGTGCAATGCAATGCATGTTCCCACTCTCGCTCGCAGTGCTGTTCATTCACTTCCATGCATTATATTGCCGCTGGCTCCACGTACAGCCATCAGTATTGTCATTTCTGAGGGAGGAGGGGGTGTCTTGAAAATGCAAGGAATGCGATTGAGAGTTACTGCGTGATACGGAAGGTAGACAGACCGAAAAGGGGGAGAGGGGCGAAAAGAGGGGGGATGGGATGATGTTGCTAGCTAGCTTGCTAGCGTATTATCAAAAATGAAAAATCAAACCTTCTGCCTTGGAGGCGCACCAAACCGGACATTGCATGCAGTACTTAAATACACGCTAATTCGGCGTAGTGAGTAATGCGTGGCACAAAATGCACGTTGACAAAGCGTTATTTTGGAGGCTACCAATTACAAGCAATCACATATATTTGGGGATGAAATGGTCGATAGCTTCTGTATGCTGCTTATCTCTGTAGCTAACGCGTATTTGTCTGTAAAATCAACCCCAGGTTTTTTTTCTCGAAATATAAATTTTGTGTTTAAAAAATGCTATATTTATTTGAACGTTAAAAGACAAAATGCAGAGGTGAAGTTCCTTTAGTCAACATGTATTCAGTTGAACGTCACAACACTGGCTGTATATTAAACGCTTAATGAACAACCTCTGCTACTAATTCATAGCATGCTTACTACCGTCAGACTTCACAAAATTAAAAAAATATATATAACCCAAACTTTGTATAGGCTATCGTTACTCTCTAACGGAGAAATACCATATCTGTTGTTGAGGATACTGTCTTTTACTAGTCACTTGGCAAATTGCCAAATTGTGTGTAGTGTTCCTCAGTGAAATTACAGCGTGACCGAGACGTGCACACTGTAAACATAAACGTAAGACGCACTGCAAACGTATTTGCAGTTTACCAGCAGAAAAGGGGACTAATAAACACTTAATGCAATTTTTTTTTTTAAATATCCACAGCGATTTGGAGGAAATTGTTGAATAATAAAATGACCTTTATTGATATGCTTGATTTTACATTGACTAGCCATTAAATCTCTGCAGGAAAAATGAGGCTTGCTCAAAAAAGGGCTGATACGTTTAGGAATTGTTGCATTGTAATATTAAAATATTGTTTGATATTCTGTTGCTACCTGAAAGCGGGACTATTACAGTGTCGTGCTCTGCGTTAGATACGTGTTCCACTGTTTTCGCGGCCTACTTACAGTTCAAAGGCGCCCTGCCACGTTATCCGTCGCCGTGACAACCAAATCAATCTTAGTAGCTTACAGAGCGCGCATGCAATCATTCTTGTGTCTCGCTAGGGCTGATACGTTTAGGAATTGTTGCATTGTAATATTAAAATATTGTTTGATATTCTGTTGCTACCTGAAAGCGGGACTATTACAGTGTCGTGCTCTGCGTTAGATACGTGTTCCACTGTTTTCGCGGCCTACTTACAGTTCAAAGGCGCCCGGCTATGTACGTTATCCGTCGCCGTGACAACCAAATCAATCTTAGTAGCTTACAGAGCGCGCATGCAATCATTCTTGTGTCTCGCGTTGCATGTCTGGAGTCAGTCGTACACTTGGGTGCACACCTACAGCATACTATAACCTATTGTTATATGGGAACGGGAAGCGAAATGTTAAGACATTTGAATTATTTATGATAATTTAGGTGTATTATGCGATATGGTGGAATCTGTGCAACTATTCGTTGTATTTGCAGACTTTTCACTTTAAAAATTTTTTTAAATCTTGTAGGTTGTATTTCATTTTTATTTACACGGATGCAAACAGGTTCTGGTGCCTATTTGTTGTCTGTGTCATAATGTGTCAAGAAGTCTCATCATTTGTGCATTGTAACATTTGGAGTGTCTCCTTTTTTTCTTACATGACAGGACAACAATAGTGCTATTCTTTTAAGCAGTCATCCCTAGATATGTGGAAACCCCTAGGTGTATGTATGAGGAATTCTATTCAGACTACTAAAAAAAGGATCACAAATGCTGTGTGTGGTTTTTCTAACACGTAACATTCCCCCAATATTCTGTGAGACTGCATCCCAGCATCTCTCTGGTTGACTCTTGGTCTTTAGCAAGTCTGAAGAGGAATTGTTCTATTTTCTGTCGGAATCTTTAATATTGTGTTTCTGACTCGAGAGCATCTCTGTAGACTCGGGCAGATTGATAGAATCCAGAAATAATGAGGAGTTCAGGCTTATGATGATGGACAAGCTTCAGTGCTGCTGATGCAGAGACTGAAAAGCATCCGCCGAATAAAATCAAATTAAATGCTTTTGTATTGAATCTTCTCTCTTTTGTTTTTCCAAAAATTGCTTCTGGTTTTGAATGAATACTAGATAGTGGGACTGCTGCTTTGGGTCATTGGAAGCATAGCCATTATGCAATGATGAAACACCATCAAGTGTTAAATTAGCATAAAATGAAACAAAATGACATTGGGGTCTGAGTAGGACACCACATTCGGCAATATTGGTTCTTATATTAAGAAATGTTGTTGCATGTGTTAATATTAAATGAGAATAGACATATATATATATATATATATATGATAGCACTGTTGCTTAGCAAGACTCCTGCACACTACATATTGGTTATGAAGACGACAAATGTGTACTCCATGATGGCAAGGTTCACCAGGCCCTCTGTCCTTCTTAGGGCAGCGTACATCCACCACACACCTCTGCATGGTTCTAATGGAGATTAATGGCCATGACTGAGTTCCCCATCAGGCTGTAAACATTTTGCACCTGTTGGGGAACTGTGTTGAATTACTGCCTATGTAATTAGGAGCAGTTTTGTACAGTGGATTCGATCAAGCTTTCTAATATAACCCTTCCCTTTGTTTTTTTTTCCGCTTTTTTCACATTTCACCTTTTCACCTGTCATTCTTTTTCACTCCATTGTCAAATTATGCTTAATCAGCTCAAGAACAGACACAATGGCAGGAGCTGAGAGGTTTAGCAGGATGAATTGATTGACTGAAGGTGCGAGACAGCATGATGGAATAAAAGTGAGAGAGGAGAGACAGAGGAAGACATTATTGGATGTAAAATGTTTGTAGTGTGATCCAAATGTGTATATACATCTATATAAATTTTTTTAATATATTAAATTAAATTGAGTCACTCGATTTTTACTGTAGTATCAATTAAATATAATATTAAAACATAGAAAATGTGTTTGTGGGTCACTAATCAAATAAGCTAATTTGTGACATTGGCAGTGGGAACTGTATGAAGATTTCCTTCATTATGATAACATACATGACTGTCAACTTTTGCTCAGTCCTGCTTTTTTTTTTTTTTTTTTAAAGTCGTCATGAAACAGAAACCATCTTCTCTTCCCTATTGTGACATTTATATCCAAGTGAAATGGCTTCTCGAATGAGAAAAATGTAATTGATTGGATTGTTGGTCATTGTCGTTTGTTAATTGCTGCCATCTCAGGTGAGTGACAGGTTGCAGGAGGGAGGAATTATTGTCCAGCCCTCACACCGGTGCACACGTGATCAGAGAAGAGATGCTGTTGTGAGGGGGAGGGTAAGGAAAAGTTCATGTTTATGATTAAAGATTATGAGTGCACATTAATTTTAAAAAGATGTGCACGGATAAATCATTTATAATAAACACTGCAATATTCCATAGAAAAATAATAAGCAAATAAGAAATTCTACATGTAACTTCTCACTCATTGTTATGTTGATGTTATAGCCTAATTTGTAATAAAAGAATATTTAATTAAAAGCAAAATAGACCCACTAAGTTGTCTCATACTTTTGAACCCCACTGTTTGTACGATGTCCTTCAGTTTACTTAATTCTTGAGAAGTTCAGCATCTATTCCCTGATCGTCTCTGAGCTGCCTCTTTGGGATTAAGAGCCAATTACTGTCTAATTCCCATCAAACCTCACATTACCTGGAAGTGAAACTGCTTCCTTTGGTTGCACAGAATAATTATTTCATGTACATGAATACTCGCATTTGAAGAGAGAGTACTGATGCTATGATGCATTAATTATTTAAGATAAGACATTCAGTTGCAGGAGAAACATCTGCTTGTCAGGGTTCCTCATATGTATTTAATATATTTTTTAAATGATTATTCATATCCAGTTCATAACTTGATGCTATTTCTAACGTTTTCTTTCAAAGTCCTTTTCAATGTGTCACTTTTGCATGGTACTGTGTCTCTAATAGTTTATAAAGCAGTGAGTCAGCTTATCTACAATGCTTGCCTTGTTCTGCGTAACCTGAAACGATTCCACTAAAGAATCATTATCAAACAGAAGCAGCAATGTATCAAAACATCATAAGGGTACTTTTGTCATGGCACTGTATATTATGTATTATGCCAGAGGTACAATCAGTGAAGCAGTTGGCAGCTGGGATGTGCGCTCTCGCTCATGCATTTAAATGTTTAACCCAGTTCATTAGAGCCTTTATCCAGTTAATTACGCGAGTCTTGTGCCTCCAAATGAGGGTGTTTTTAAAAGAGATGGACATGCTCCCAGATGGAACCCCCTCAGGATGGACATCAGTTGTCTTTGTCACATTTATTAGGGTCTTTTGGGAGACATGTATTCTAGTGACTATATTGAACCCAGGAGTCTATTTAATGGAGAATGACAATATAAATCTATTCTTGCATCCTGTCAGGAAGTATGTAATGAGAGGCTGTGCTTATATATTGTACAGATTTATTTAGGTAATTCTTTGAATACTACACTCGAAGATGTAGGTTTGAATAAGGTAAAGAATAAATAAGGTAAGAATACATTTATTTGATGGGTTTTAAAATAGATTTTCTGGTCCACTCCACTGCTTCTGTTGAATGACACCCACCCCCTCACCACGCGCTCACTCAGTATGTGGTGTCTGTGGCTTCCCACTCTGGTCTCAGAGTGAGAGGGATCTAGACTAACTGAGCTGTTCTCACACTAAGAGCCTGTTGAGGATGGAGGGGAGGGGATTTCCAAGGCAATTCAGTCAGTGTAGAGCTTTTATCAATGAGTGCTCTGTGTCTTACCTCAGCAACATCCTAACCGCCATTGTCAACTGAACTGGCCACTCTCTATGAAAGCGGACAACAGAGACAGTCTGCAAAGACCGCAAAAGGCAGTTGATTGGCTGGCAACAGGCAGAGTGGCCAATCAGAATTCTGGGCTACACTCTGTATCATTGCACATCGGAAAGCATAGCAGTGGTAAATGTGAGACAAGGTACAAAAAAATGAATTAGAAAATGATCTTGTTTTGTCATTCATAAGTTACATATTGATAAGTCAGCATATTTCCCTAATTTATAGATAGAGGAGGCAATATTGAGAATGCTGATAATATATTTGATGTTGTGGTGATTGTTATATATAGTCTGTCAAAATCAGATCCTGCATGCTTTTTGGGAGAAGGACGATGTGGAAGTGAGTAGGCTGATTAAAGAGCTAATCTTTGTGTGTGGCTGTGGTGTGAGAGGGATAATGCCAAGCTGGGTCAACTGATACTCTATACAGGGATTTAGTATGAGCATAGAGACCAACAGACTTTTTCACTGTCTGAACAGAGGGCGAACAATGAAATCCATCCCAATGTCACACGACTGATTTTTGATACAATACAGTGAGTTATTGTTTGATTTAGTCCTCCAAAATTACTTTTAAATGAAGAGAACACAAGTGGTTGATGTTTGAGCAAGTAAAAAAAAACATGGTTGGAAGTCATAGTTGGATTGTACATTAATTGGGCTAATTAGAAAATTAAATAATTAGTGATCATTTAATTAGATATATTAGTAGAATGTAATATTTTTTTCCCTTTGTTTTAAAATTGATCAAAGATACTTTACAAAACACATATTAAATAAACAACAAACAGTGAACCAAAACAATGGTATAATCAAAATTCCTTCCCAGTACTTGTTTTCTCTGCATCATTATATAAATAAATATATATAGTGAAATATTACTGGGAGTTAAGGTGTGTGATTAATAATATATAATTATTGAAAGTTAACAGTAATATTATTTGTTAATTTATTATTATGCAAAATTATGAATATTTATAATGTTTTTATAACCTTAGAATTTCCTTTTATTTAAACATTTTAAATAGATTTTATTCATTTTAAAAAATATATAAAATAGAATGTTTAAGCAGTACTTAACCATTTACAGTGTAAACATTTACTTCTCTTATGTATGTATTATGTGCTGGCCAATTAAAGAATGGGGAGGTTGTGTCAGATGCCCAAATGTCATGTAATGCATAAGAATGTATGCAAACAATTACTCTGTTATTGTGTCTGTTTCTGTACCGTTCCCTCTGTCAGTTACCTCTTTTTTAATCCTCTGTTTTTCAGTTTGGTTTATGGGAGCTCCAGATCCTCCCATCCAGACTCAGAACTCCTCCACCGTCAACCTTATGCCACACCACACCCCCTGCAAGGATATGCAACAAATCATCATCCAGGCACTTCTGGACAAGGTGGAGCATGGGGCACAGGAAGGAGCTTAGGTAAGGTCTACAAAATTATGTAATTAATTACTGGAAAATTACTGATGTTGTTTCATCCAGCTAGTTTGAGTATAATTTTGTGACAGTACATAAAAACGTATTTCTTCAGAAATTGCTTTGATTTAACACTGTACTGACCTCTGCACAGTACTGTATTCATTGTGTACCTTGATGTTGAGATGATAAAAAAAAGACATCCTCTGAGCAGGTGTTAGACTTTGTCTTAATAATCGTCTTTTGCAGGGCTCTCAGGCTTGTTTGATACTGGACTACATCATGCAAGTCCCTCAGGACCAGATGCTTCAGTTATGAACTTGATCTCAGCTTTGGAATCCCGAGGTGCTCAGCCACCCCCCTCTGCCTCTTCCCTTCTCTCCCAATTTCGCACCCCCTCCTGGCAAACTGGTTAGTATTTTGAGTTATTGAATGTAGAATTATCTAATTATAAACACAGAAATATATCATGAAATAAAGATAGAGAATCACCTTATTAACTGCTGAATCATTTTCTTTTTCCTTTCCTTTCCCTCTCTGTTGTTGTAGCAATGCATACTCCAGCCCCTGCAGAGCTATTCATTTCTGGTGCACTACCTGGCTCTAGCTCATTTCCCTCTTCCTCTGCTCTGTCGGCATATCAGCACCCTGCATCCTTCTCAGGGCGCTCCTTCCCTGGAGTGACCCCATCATTATCTCTGCAGGACACGCCTACCTTCAGTCCTACTTCCAACGGTCTCCTGTCACCACATGATCCTTTGCTACACATTAAAACACCCTCCCAGTCAAGTCTTGGCTTTGACCGTCTTCTGTCTTCACAGAGTGGGACTGCTTCATATAGAGGGCCACAAGAGCCCACTAGTGCTCCTCCACCACAAGCATCTGCATCCTCATCAACACGCCATTTACCACCTCAGTTTAACCTGCTGTCCTCACAGCTGCAGGATCAGTCCTCTCAGCTCTACAATTCCTCTGTTTTTTCTTCTGCACCCCCTCAACCGCCACAGTCCCAGGAAAGAGCCATCTCCAGGCAAGACAGTGTGATCAAGCACTACCAGAGACCTTCTCCTGGACAGTCTCAACTATCCTCTTCCACACCTCATCCCCTACAACACTATCTTAGTTGTGGTGCATCAGGATACCAGCAGATACCCCATCATCGGCATGGCTCCTCCATAAACTGTAGTCCACTGGGTGAGCAGAGTCCATCATCTGACCCCAAACCCTCTCCCCGATCAGAGCAGATATATCGGCCTATTATCCAGCCCCCGTACACTTCCTCCTCAGTCTCCTCCTCAGCTGGTTCGGGTGGTGGTATTGGGACAACAGGAAAGAGTTCCAGTTCAAGTAGTGGCTACTCTTCCTCTGGCTCTTCCTCATCTCGAACCCCTCACACTCCTCCTTCAGCTTCTTCCACCTCATCTTCTTCCTCTTCTGCCTCTAATCCTAATGTCTCATCCAGTACCTCCTCTGCACCCTCAAGGCAGCAACCACCACCCCAATCAGCACCGCAACCCCCACCACCTCCACCTCCAACAGTGTCATCCTCTTCTACGCAGCAGCAGCCACCCAAACCTTGCCTGTCTACATATGGCTCTCCAGTTGCTCCTGTCAAGCCAACTGCTGGCCTTCCTGGTCAAACCCCACCACAGCAACAGTCATATTCACCAAGCCAGCCACCCACCTCTCACTTGCCCCAGCCATATGGGGGATTCAGTTCTCCGCAGACTCAGGATCTTGGTTCCAGCCTTGGGGGGACAGGAAAAGCTTATGGTAGTCTTGGAACTGCAGGACGTTCATTTTCAGCTGAGGTGGTCTATGGCTCTGATTCAGGATATGGTTCTTTGCCACCATCTCTTGGAGGGGCAGGAAGTCCCTCACTGGGCTATGGTGGTACAGGACATTCACCTGCCCTAATGGTGTCTGGAGGTGGTACTGGTACAACAAACAGTACCACCGGATCCGGAGCAGGTAGTTCAGGAAGTGTGGGGGGTGGTTCAGGTGGTGGTAGTGCTAGTGTAGCAAGTGGTGGAGGATCATACCACCTGCCAGATTCCAGCCCGTCACCCTCAAGTAATTCTGGAATAATCCGCCCAGGTCTGCACTCCCCTGCCCCAACTCGCCCTGCACAATCACCTGGAGGAAATGGGGGCAACAAGTACCTATCCTCAGTTCTTTCCCCAGCATTTCTGGCTTCTCCACAAGGATATTCAGACACAAGGTTGCCACCCCAGCAATCACAGTCTTATCACACAACGCCACCAAAATCTAAGTCTGATTCTGATATGCTTGGGGTAGAAAGATCTCAAGAGGAGGACGAAGAAGATGAGGATGACTTTTTGATTCAGCACTTATTGCACTCACAGAGTCCAGCACCAAATCCCTCCCAGCATCATTCTCAACAAGCTCAGCAAGTAGCCTCACAACAACCGCAGTCCCAGTCCATTTCCCAGAGTAGAGATGGAGGAAAGTCTCTCTCTGCTTATGAACTAAACAAGGCATCTGAAGAACGTTATCATCTACAGAGTGTCATTCGGACTAATAATACCACCAACAATGTGGCTTCAGTTGCTGCTGGCTCTTGTGGTCCAGGCACAGGTTTAGAGAACCAGTTGGAAATGTCTCTGAAAAAGCAGCAACAGACTAAGTCTGATAGAGTGCTTGCTGGAGCTGGTGCAAATGGTGGCCGAGGTGCAGTTGATTCTTTGTCACATACTCATTCTCATGGTCAACATGACTCCCTTGGTTCAGTGGTCCACTATGGCAGAGGAGACCCTTATAGTCATCAGACACATCAACTTCACCCTCCTCACCCATCACACCCTCAGCATTCACAGCACCCTCATCCCCATTCAATGTCCCACTCACATATAGATCTTAAGAAAGCTCAGGATCCTTCAGAATTACCCTACCTACGTAAGACTCCAGACTCTCAGCAGCAACAGACCCAGTCCTCCCTTGGACTAATGGATTCTCCACCCGACCCGTCTCAGCAAACCTCCCAGGCTCACCTTCTCCAGTCTGTCCTTTCGCATACCACTCGAAACAAGATGGACAACCAACAAACTCCTTCACAGCAACAACAACACTCAATGACTCAACAAGCCATGATTAGACCAACTGGGGGATTAGGTACTAATGGCTCTGGAGGAGTAGACACTCAGCCACAGGCCTCTCAACTTCAACTCCAGCTCCAGTCCCAAACTATGGAGGTCCACTATGGACCTGAGGCTCAGCGAAACCAAAGCCAGTCAAGTCAGAATTCTGTTTCACCACTAGACATGCTAGAGAGATCTCTCTCCAGAACAAATAGTCGAGAAGGGCCAGGCCCAGCTGATAGAGTTGGTGCAGGAGATGGGAGCAGCACTGATCATCACAGACAACAACAACAACATAGGATGTCCTCACACCATCAGTCCCACCACCCTCAACAACCAGCAGCAGAGCTTCATGATTTCTTGTCTGATTCGGATTTGAGCATGTCAACCCCCTCTCATTTGCACCATATGGCCTCACACCATCCACCCCCTCATGCCCACCATCAGCCACAGGCACACTCTCACCATCAGCATCCTCACCAGCACCCTCACCACATGCAACCAACTTCTGGACCTCCACAGCCCCAATCCCAGCTCAGGGAACAAGAGCCACAGCTGGATCAGCTCAAAGAGCATCAATATGACACTGGTAGCCCTGTGGGAAAAACAGCTCAGAACCAGGTTCAGAGCCAAGACCAGCAACAACGGTTCATGCCACTGACATCTATTTGTTTCCCAGATTCACTTCTCCAAGATGAGGATCGTTCCTTTTTTCCAGGTATGGAGGATATGTTCTGCTCTGAGGACTACAAGGCAAGTTGTGCTGGAGGTGGTGGAAGTGCAGGACAAGGGGGTCAGGATGGTGTGCCAGAGGCACGTGGAACAGTACAAGATGGAATGGATGCAGTTAAAGCTACAAGTGGAGGAGGTGCATATGACATGATGAGTCACCATGGTGATCAGGGTTATGGGCAGTATTGTCATAGTTTGTCTGAATCTGGCAATGGTACTATGCACTTAGATCTGGACCCCTTGAAATCCCATGAACTCCCATCCACTGTAAACACAGAACAACTAGGCTTAATTCAGTCTCAGGGCCCAGGCCTTGGGATGGGCAGCACAGGACACATAGTGGACGGAACTGGAAACAAAATGATGGGCTCTGCGGGTGTAGGTAGTGGTCCTGGCACAGGGGGACTCACCTCACCAATCTTTTGTTCCTCTAGACCTAAAAAACTTTTGAAAACAAGCTCTTTTCACCTCCTTAAACAGCGGAAAGAGCCTAATGCCCAATCACAGGCTAAGAAGAACTATGCTCAAGAATATGAATTTGAGGATGATGAGGATAAAGCAGATGTACCAGCTGACATCCGCTTAAACAGCAGACGTCTGCCAGACTTGCTTCCTGATCTTGTTTCTAGTTGCAGAAAGTCTGGAAGTGGTTCAGGAGTTGGCAGTTTAAGCCCTTTGATGGGTGATTTAGATTTCTGCCACCCCTCAGGGTACCAATCCCTTGGACCTCCTCCACAGCTGCTCCCACATGATGGCCCAAAGAAAAGGGGGAGGAAACCCACCAAACCTAAACGTGAGGGTCCACCAAGACCCAGGGGTAGGCCACGTATTCGGCCTCTTCCTGAGCCTCCATATTGCAGGAACATGATGGGACCTGGTGGAGAAAGTAGAAGGGGCCGTGGTCGAGGAAGAGGACGTGGAAGGAAAGATGATCAAATGCTAGAAATGCACAGAGACATGAACAAGGGGCAGAACTACCAACAACAAGCACCTCACCTCCATCATCAACCACAGTTACAACAGCACATGCACCACCATCTACAGCAGCAACAGCAGCACCAACCACAACATATGCATCAACAGCAGCACCTACATGTACAACAACTTCATCAACACCATCAACAACTTGCACAGCATCAGCCTCAGCAACAATACCAGGAACCCATCAAACCAATCAAAGTAAGTAAAAGGTTACGATTTGCACCAATGGAAAGAATTATGTTTGTGGGAATGATGGATCAATGAAACTGTGACAAGTGTAAAAGCATGTATTGATTCAAGAAATACCTTTTATGTAAATACTTAAATATAGTAATTGCTTAATTGTTTTCCTCCCAGATTAAGCTCCCTATTCCTTCCATACCCTCGTCTGACTCCCTACTGAGGACAGACTCCCTGTCTAGTACAGATCCAGTTTTGTCTGATGGTTCAGTAGGTTCTGCACCATCACTTGGTTTGAGCCCAGGGCCCACTACCAGTGTGGACATGAACAGAATTGACATGAACAGAAATGATATGAGCTGTGGTCAGGAAAAGATGAAGCAGAAACCCCAAGAGGTGAGTCTCGGCTTGCAAAAATGTTAACAGAAAATGTTTAAATAACTCCAGATGTTCTATGTAAAATGCAGAGCAAATGCCAATTCTGTGTTTTTGCATTTAAGGAAATTATTTATTGCAATATCTCTATTGCAACAAATATCTCATAATATCTAATATCTCTTTCATAATCTTTAGAAAGATAAATTGGTGTCTTTCAAAAATTAGCATAAAGATACACCATAAAATCAGTTGTGACAACCTCACTTTTTGCAGCCTATGTGTCCAAAAACATAACAAACAATGTGCTAGTTCATATTGGGTCCTTTTGATGTCCTCAAATGACCTGCAGATTTAGAGCAAAGTTTAGTGGAGGAGGTGCGTATAGGTATTTTGTGGAAGACTTGCCAGGCTGTGTTGGCAGCTGTGATAGATTAATTTTACCAAATTAAAATGCTTTGCTAAATTTGTTCTTTTTAGTTAAAACATTTCTTTTCTTTTCTTAAAAAAGTTTTTAGGGTACTTGTAAATTGATTTATCAAGCATATTTATTTATAGTCATTTTTGTTAGCAGTGCACAGCACTGTTAGACAATAGTAGAAGGGATTGGTGGGAAGCAGCATGTGAAATCAGTTGTGATTTATGCAAATGCAAAAGGAATGTCAATTACTGAGCTGCGACCAAGCTCACTATGAGTAGATGATCAACAACCTGAGTAGGATCTTTCCAAATACAGAAAAATCTAGATGATAGATTTCAATAACTCAACAACATTTTACAGCCTTAATCAAGTTATGCCCTCCTCCATATGTTTAAATTGCACTTATGAAATGTCCTCTGTTGCCTCAGCAACAAGTAGCCTCATGAAAGAAGGGTGGAAGAGCCAGGGTGTTTTGTGTAGATATGTGCAATTTCTTTACATGTATGTGCAATGTTTATGATTTATGTATCTGCAGATGTCCTGGGAGGGAGACATAGATGACCAAATGACCCCAGAGGCCTGGGCCACCATGCAGAAGCTTTCTGGCTCAGTAAGACTTCAATTTATTCTTATTCTATATCCATTTTCCAGGTGTAATTCGACAAGAAGACAATAAACCACTCATATTTTGACCAAAAGACACATTACTAAATTATACATAAAATTAATTTTGGATTTCTTTCACAGTTATTTTACTGGGGAAGCATTGTTCTCAGTGTATGCACTTTGCCACTAGAGGGAGCAGAGTACATAGACTAAGATGATTGACAGGCCACCCTGATGACAGTTCTTATGCAATAAAAGAGGGAGAGCGCTGTTGCTAGGGTGGCTGTTGCTAAGGTTACTGATTCATAGTAACCATCATCAACCACCCTGCTGTTTAGTAAGGTGTTTTACCTCCTTCTAGACACACCTAACGTAAGAGAGTGGGACTACAGTGATTATATAATATAAAGATGTTAATCATTGTCATCTATTTGTAAGCTGTTTTCTGGTTGTTCTTTCTTTTTCCTATATTTGCCTTCTGCGTAAACATTTCCATGCTATTTGACACTTATTGCTTGTATTTTGCCATCTGCACCTTTAATTTCTCTGCACCTCTCGCTCACAGATGGAGGAGAAATCTTCAGAGCTGAAGTCGGGTTTTATATCTTCCTTTCTGGATTTTCTGAAAACGGGGAAGAAGCAGGCGGGCACTGATGCTCCACCTGTGGACGGATGCACTTCCACAGATTCCTCTTCAGTAAAGGGAGGCATTCGCCCATTATCTCCACAACCACCGCCTCCTCCACCTCCCCCCTTCGAAGACAACGAGGGTGATGGAAGCCTGGGTCTCAGTAACTGTCCGTCCCCCTGTAAAAGACTTGACGAGGAGCTCAAGAGGAACCTAGAGACCCTGCCGTCATTCTCCTCAGACGAGGAAGACTCTGTCAGTAAGAACCAGGACCTACAGAAGAGCATCTCATCAGCCATTTCTGCCCTCTATGACACACCCCACAGTCTCTCTGCTGTTCCACCTCCTCCTACACCATCACCACCCACTCCGCAGACACTGGACTCTCTTAACACACCCCCGCCACCCCCACAACCTGAATCTGTTCCGCGTGTACACACTGAACCTGAGACAGAAATAAACACGTCACAGGAACTGGATTCGCTCTCACGGCCCAACCTGCAGGAGGCACATGTTCCAGGCAAGGATGAGGAACCGGAAGAACCTGTGCAGGAGGTACATGAAGAAATAAATCAGAAAGAAGACAGACAGACTGAATGTGAGGAGGAAGGAGAGGAGTTGGAAGAAGACAGAAGTGAGAAGGAGGAAGTTGATCAGATAAGGACAGAGGAGCGCAAGCAAGAAGAAGAAGAAGAGCCTGAGTATGAAATGCTGGGTGCTCCCAAGGTTGATGGTGAGTATATTAACATGTCTACAGTCAGATATTAAAATCAATGAAATGTAAATGCTTCCTTCTTTTCTCAACTGTATCCCCTGTTTTAGGATCTCCATCTGAGCCTCCGCCTGCACCCCCTTCTCCCCCATCTCTTTCTCCTTCTCCCCCAACCTCCTCCTCCCCATCTCAGATCACTTCACTGCACCTGGCTAAGAAACAGTCCAACGCGGCCATCGCCGGAGAGAGTGAGGATGATGACAGTGAGAGTGGGGGGGAGGGGATCTTCAGAGAGAGGGATGAATTTGTGGTGCGCACTGAAGATATTGGTACTCTTAAGGTAAAAATCCCTTGCTTTTTTGTTTTTGCAGTTTTCTATGTATACAGTTAATATTTAGATGCTTGCAGGGATTCACCCAAAAATGATAATTCTGTCATCATTACTCACCTGTCATGTCGTTCTAGTCCTGTATGACTCAGTTTCTTCTGTGGAACATAAAAGAAGATAATTTGAAGAATGCTGATAACCAAACAGTTTTGAGTCCCTTTGACTTCTATTGTATGGTCAAACATTGTAATTGAAGTCAATTATCTTCTTTTGCATTACGCATACAAAAGAATGTCATACATGGTACAACATGAGGGAGAGTAAATGATGAAAGAATTGTAATTTTTGGGTGGACTATCCTTTTAATATTTTAATAGTAAAGTTGCAATGAAACGGAAATAGTGACAGATCTTTTCTTCCGTAGTGTGACATACATCCGAGTGAAACAGATTATCAGAAAAGAAAAAAAGTTGGGTGGGGACTTAATTCTGTCTATCGCAGAGCTCTCCAACCCTGCTCCCATACCCCTTTTCCACCAAGGCAGTTTGGGTGCTGGTTCAGAGCCAGAGCCTAGTTTCAAATCGGTTCTTTGTCTTTTGACACCCAAAGCACCAGCTCTGAACCAGGAAAAGTGGTTCGTAAGTAGCACCAACACATTTCTGGTCTAGAAGTAAGAACCGCTTGCGTTAGAGGCTGGGGGCGGGGTGACCGTGACCAACAAGACGAACAGAAACTTTTGACCTCCATTTTTGAAATAGCAGCTAAACACTATTGATGCAATTAATCAAAAACAACTGTGGTCTGTGGAGGAAACTTCTTTCTTGCACTCTGGTCTCGCTTATTAAGTTGGCTTGAAAAAATCAACTTACTGAAATCCTATTTAAACTTCTTCTTCTTCTTCTGAGACCAAATTTTAAAATGTATCTCCTCCTAGACTTTTAAAGCTACAACCACCAAACTCGGGTCAGACCTTCAGACTGGTCTGACTCGGGTTGCTATATCTTTTCTACCTGATCTGGCTTACGGTTTTCATAAACCAGACTATCAAAACCACCTAAAATCTTTCATTGAGGATGTGAAAACTTTTATACAATGAGACGTATGGTGTATTTCAGCTGTCTACTGCCATAGCAAAGCTTAAAAACTCCCTACTGAAAAAAACCGCTAAAACCAGCCTAAGCTGATTGGCTGCTTTGGCTGGTTTTAAAGGGGTTTTGGCAACTTTTTAGCTGGTCAGGCTGGTCTTAGCTGGTCAAGCTGTGAGAACCAAGCTTAAACCAGCTAAGACTAGGCAACCAGCCTAAACTGGTTTTAGCTGGTTTTAAGCTGGTTTTTAACTGGTTTTTAACTCTTTTTTTTTACTGAATCAACTGGTTTTAGCTGGTTTTAAGTGTAAGAAAGAAATATGCAAACAACATGCTAGTAACATGCTAATCATGCTAGCAAAATGCTAGTAACTTGCTAATCAGGCTAGAAACATGTTAGCGACATGCTAGTAACTTGCTAATCATGATAGCATCATGCTAGTCACTTGCTAATCATGCTAATGACATGCTAGTCACTTGCAAGTCATGCTAACAACATGCTATTGACTTGCTAGTCATGCTAACAATATGCTAGTTACTTGCTAATCATGCTAGCAACATGCTAGTCACTTGCTAATCATGCTAGCAACATGATAGTCACTTGCTAATCATGCTAGCA